GGTACCTCATTGGTCTGTAGAGCTGTAGTTTCTCTTTCATTTCCAGTGCCCAGACTTTCCTTTCTCTAGCTAGGAGTCGAAAATACCTTGAAGTTCTGGTTTGGTGAGTTAATTCTCCGTGATTTACAACTTTCCTGTGTCTGACCGTGGGATGAGCAATTTTAGGGGGAAGAGTATGGAGGACTTTGGAAGGAAAACACTGATTTTACTTGTATGAGTTCCTTGTCTTCAAAGGGAACCGAGGGGGAGGGGCTGGCGACCTCTGGCTAAAAATGCAGATGGAGGAGAATAAGGGAGGGGCTGCCTGGAGAAAGCGCTGATTTGGAGGTGGCTTTCATCCAGACCCAGTCCCCTCCTGCCATTTCATAATCTGTAAATTTGAGTTGTAGTTTGTCAAAGAGATCCAGAGGTCTGTTAGCTAAGTCAGAGCCTCTGCTCTTTATTGCGGTTTGTGTGACAATATGGTGTTTCCGCATATCTAGGGCAGTGTTTCTCAACCTATGGGTTGTGATCCCTTTGGGATTTGAATGACCCTTTCACAAGGGTGGCAAATCAGATATTCTGCATATCAGTTATTTGCATTATGATTCACAACAGCAGAAAAATTATACTTATACAGTATATACTCATAAAGTAGCAACAAGCACAATTGTGTGGTTGGGGCCATCACAGTATGAGGAACTGTATTAAATGGCTGCAGCATTAGGAAGGTTGCGAGCCACTGCTCTAGGGGTCCTGGAGGCTTTTTCTGTTCAGTACTAGAGTTTGTTAGCCTGCTATTTAGTCACTGACCCTGGTTGGTGGCTCCAAGCCAGGGAATGACTGCAGTTATTTTCTTTCCCTAGAGACATTTCTTCCAAACTAAAGTGGACTTCAGCCCAGCTTGAAGTTCCACCTACACAGGGGGTAGGAGGACCGTAAGTTGATGGCCATTATAGGCAACTCAATAAAACTCAGTCATAAGACATTTTTTAAAATGTTGATGACTAAGCTCAGTGGTAGGGTACCTTTCAAGCCAGTGGTTCAACGCAACAGAGAAGGAGATGGGGTATTTGAAGATGGGAAAAGTAAGGACTATGAGAATTCGAGAGTCACATAGCTGAACATTTTCCCAGAAGTGACAGCTTTTCTCAGGTTTCTTGGAGATAACGATACCTTTTGTGTTGTCCAGGCTAGTCTTCAGCTCCTTAGTCAGCCCATACCCTTAACCCCGAGTCACTGGAGTGACATGGTCAATCGCTGATGCTGCCCTTTTCTACCTGTAAATAATGAGAATTATAGATTCTTGATTGATGTTAAAAAAAAAAAACATCTAATGATAAAGAGCTTGAGACTCACAGGAGAAGCCAGATTGATCAGGGATAGCTTGGCTTACCCAAGCTCATCTAGGCACTCAGAAGAAAACAACAGACCTTCCCGTGTCCCTGTTAATTTTGTGGGTTTTCACCCTCCTAGCAATTTGCTCCTGTTCATAAGTCAGTGGTAGGCAATGATCCTGGCCTAATAGAATATGCCTTGAATATGTGTTCCTGTGATATTTTTGGAAAAGTTTAAGAAGAACCGAAATTAATGTGTTAAAAGTGTGGTAGATTCTGTGTTGAAATGTTTTTAGTATTACTTTGAACCCTCTTTTTTGTATCTGATCTGTTTGAGATTTTGATTTCTTCCTAGGTCGTTTTTGCTAAAGTTGCATTAGCTAACATTTGTATTTCCTCTAAGCTATATAATGAGTTGGTTATAGTTGTTCATAATAGCCTCTAATGGTGCCTTTTTATTGTGTCTCTACTCTCATTTTTTAATTTGCTTGAGTTATTCTCCTTTTTTTCTTTTTTGGAGATAGTGTGGGTATGAATCTGTTGGTTTTGTTTATTTTCTTACATATTGTTTTGAAGACAGCACATGCCTTTAATTCCAATACTCAGAAGACAGAGACAAGACAAGTTCTAGGCCAGCCTGGACTACGTAGAGACTTCAACAACAGCCAACGCTGTGTAGTGAAACCCTGTTCCCAAAATGAAAAACAGGAAGAGAGAGAGAGAGAGAGAGAGAGAGAGAACTCAATTGGTTCATTACATTTTTCTAGGGTCTTTCTGTTCTACTTGATGTTTTTCTGTTCTCATCTACATTCTCTTCACTTCTGAAAGTTTTACTTTAGTTCATTGTTCTTTTCCTACTTCCCTGAGGCCAACTAATAAGTTCTTTACTTGAGACAGTGTTTCTTTATGTAATATAGTCTCAATAGGTTTCCCTCATAAAGCCTCTGGAGTACTGAATGGAATGTCGTGAGATGTGTGCTTCCATCTGTCACTTCTTTTATCTTGCTGGCATACATTCCTGGAGTCTCTCATTAATGCTCTGGCCAAACTTCTAGACCAAGAAAAAAAAATCTCAGCCTTTACAAACACAAGATTCCTCAGAACCCCAAGTGGCTGAGGACATAATTCCATACTCCCATCATTCTGCCTCTCAGTTGTGTCCTGGCGGCCACCTCTTTCTTATTGAGTGACCTCTCTAGGTTAGAGCAGGCACATATGAAAAACACTCCAGAGGGATGATTTTCATTCCCTTCAGTTTTTTGGAGACAAATACCCTCCAAAGTGACCGTCTCATACTGTCAGTGCAGAACTAACTTGGCCATGTGAACAATCACATATGGAGTCATTTATTAATGTCAGTCAGAAAAGTCAATGCATGTGTGCATCAGGAGAAGGGACTGTTTATACCCCAGGTCAGCACCAGCTCTTTCTGGTAAGGAAGTTGTAAGGGGAGGATCAGAGCGTGTCACACTGACTACTGCTGATAAAACAGGAAGTAGAGTGCCAGAAGCATGAGTAGTTTGGTGACGATGGTGGCCTGGGAAAGAAAGGTAAGGATGGTTTACACAAGCCTGTTTCAAGGCTGTTGAAAGGAAACACTTTATTTCTGCTCTTCCATAAAAGGAGAAGAGCTATCTTGTGTCTGAAATTTGTCATTTGGAATGAACTAAGAGTAGAGTACTTGAAGGAAAGACAAAGTGCTATTTTGCTGTCACTAAACCTCTCTCTTTCCATATTTCTTCCTTTGTTCTTTTACTGTATCATTGTGTTTCTTCCTTGATCTCTGCACGGTGTTCATTCTGATCCTCCATTTCCTTACTTGGCCCCATTTTATCTTCTTAATCATGCAGGCAGACGTGCAGAAGTGTGAGAAATCAGGACAGGCAGAAGCAGGATCACAGCAACTATGGCCTCATCAGTCCTGGCGAAGATAAAGGAGGAGGTGACCTGTTCCATCTGTCTGGAGCTCCTGAAGGAACCTGTGAGTGCAGACTGTGGTCACAGCTTCTGCCGAGCCTGCATCACACTGAACTATGAGTCCAGCACAGGCAAAGAAGGGGAGGGCAGCTGCCCTGTGTGCCGAGTTAGTTACCTGTTTGGGAATCTGAGGCCCAATCGACATGCAGCCAATATAGTGGAGAGTCTCAAAGGGTTTAAATCTATTCCTGAGGAGGAGCAGACGGTGAATGTCTGTGAACAACATGGAGAGAAGCTCCAGCTCTTCTGTGAGAATGACATGACAGCCATCTGCTGGCTTTGTGAGAGATCTCAGGATCACCGTGGTCACCACACAGTTCTCATTGAAGAGGCTGCTGAAAAGTACAAGGTAAGGAGTGGGAGGATATGGGAGACAAAGCAGGAAAAAGCAACAGATGGGAAATTCCACTTTGTGTGACAGGTTAGTTACCTGGACATCATTGACGTGAAACTTTATATGTCATTCCATGCCTTTTTACTTCTTGAGTGCTAAAAAGACGCGATGAGGGAGTCTCGGGGTGCTGGGGCCTGCAGCACATGGTTTCTGGGAAGCAGAAGGATAACTGTGAGGTCCTGTTGCTGGCTGTAAAACGCCTGCATCCATGTTTCCCCAGAGAAAGCTGGGACTATTCACCTTACTGAGGAGGGCTCCTGGGCTCCAGGATTCCGCAGCCTCCAGGCCACCAGCTTTGCTATCCTTCCTGAGGAGGGCTCCTGGTTTCCAGGATCACCCAGCCTCCGGCTTCTACCCTCCCCCCTTTACCCAACTTCCTGAGGACCTGCCATATCTCAGAGTCATCCAGGTTAGACCCTCACACTCACCACATTCTCCTGCCTGTGGCTCCAACTAGAACACAGGCAGCAGAGGAGAGCTGTGGGCTAACCCTGAGATCCAGTCTCCAGCCCACAGCCCTACCCTTCATCCTGAGGAGGGCTGCCAGTGTCCAGGAATATGTAGCCTCTGGCCCAGGGCTCTTCTCACCTTCTGGGGAAGTCCATCAGGCGCCAGGAACAACCAGCCAACACCAGGGGTAACCAGATGGCCAAAGGTCAGTGTAAGCACACAACCACAACAATCTAGGGCAAAATGGCACCACCAGAAAAGAGCTATCCTACTACAACAAGCCCTGGATACCGTAACACACTGAAACACAAGAAAATGACATGATATATATTCTTATGAAGATGATAGAAATCTTCAAAGATGAAACGATTAAATCACTTAAGAAAAAAATCAAGGAAAATAAAATCAAACAGATAGAGGGCTTTAAAGAAGAAACAAATAAACCCCTTATAGAAATGCAGGAAAATACAATCAAACAGGTGAAAGAAATGAATAAAATGGGCCAAGACCTGAAAATGAAAATAGAAAAGTAAAGAAAACACAAACTAAGGGAATCCCATAGAGGGAAAACTTAGAGAAGAGAACAGGAAATACAAACATAAGCATCACTAACAGAATACAAGAGATAGAGGAGACACTCTCAGGCATAGAAGATACAATTGAAGAAATTGATACATCAGTCAAAGAAGATGTTATATCCAAAAATTTCCTGGCACAAAACATCCAAGAAATCAGACACACCATGAAAAGATGAACCCTAAGAATAATAGGAATAGAAGAAAAGGAATATTCTCAGCTCCAAGGGCCAAAAAATATTTTCAACAAAATCATACAAGAAAATTTTCCCAACTTAAAGAGATACTTATAAACTACAAGAGGCTTACAGAATACCAAATGGATTAAACCAGAAAGAAAATCCTCCTGCCACATAATATTCAGAACACTAAATGTACAGAACAAGGAAAGAATATTAAAGCTTCAAGGGGAAAAGGCCAAGTCACATACAAAGGCAGACTTATCTGAATTATACCTGACTTCTCATCAGAGACTCTAAAAGCCAGAAGAGCCTGGGTATATGTATTGCAGACTCTAAGAGACAACAGATGTCAGCCTAGATTACTATACTCAGCAAAAGAAAACAAGGTTTTCCATAATAAAACCAAATTTAAATGAAATCAATGCACAAACTCAGCTGTACAGAAGATATTTCAGGGAAAACTTCAACCCAAGAAGATTAACTGCACCCAAGAAAATACAGGAAAAACTTAATTCCACCTCAGTGGAACTAAAAGACCACAAGCACACAAATACTCTACCACCAGCAATATCAAAATAACAGGAACTAACAATCATTGGTCACTAATAGCTCTCTACATCAATGGACTCAATTCTTCAATAAAATGACACAGGCTAACAGAATGGATGTGAAAACAGGATCCATTATTCTGCCACATACAAGAAACTCAACATAGCAGCAAAGAGAGGCATGACCTCAAAGTAATGAAATGGGCTGGGAAAAGGTTTTCCAAGCAAATAGACCCAAGGAGCATGCTGGGGTAGACATTCTAATATATAGTATAATAGACTTTCAACCAAAATTAATCAAGAGAGATGGGAACACTTCATGCTCATTAAAAGAATAATCCACCAAGATCCCATCACAATTCTGAACTTCTGTGCCTCAAATACAAGGGCACCCACATTTGTAAAAGAAACGTTATTAATGCTTAAATCACACATCGAGCCCCAACATTAGTAATGGGAGACATCAACACCCCACTCTCAGCAACAGACAGGTCATCGAGACAGACACTAAACAGAGAAATAGTGAAACTAACAGATGTCATGAATCAGATGGATCTAACAGGTATCTACGGAACTATTGGCCCAAATACAAAAGAACATTCCTTCTTCTCAGCACCTCACAGAACCTTCTTTAAAAATTGACGATAGAGTCGGTCACAAAGCAAGCCTCAACCGATACAAGAAAACTGAAATAACACCTTGTATTTTGTCAGGTCACCACAGATTAAAGCTGGTCCTCAACAACAACAGAAACAACAAAAAGCCTACACACTCGGGGAAACAGAACAACTCTCTACTCAGTGACCACTGGGTCAGGGAAGAAATAAAGAAATTAAACACTTCCTCAAGTTCAATGAACAATATACCTAAACTTAATGGATACAATGAAGGCATTGCTAAGAAGAAGAAAAAAACCTAAGAGGAATGGGTAGCAGGAAGTAATCAAACTCAGGGCTGGAATTAATAAATTGGAAAAAACTGCACAATACAAAGAGAGAGAAGAAAGAAAGAAAAGAAAAGAAAGAAAGAAAGAAAGAAAGAAAGAAAGAAAGAAAGAAAGAAA